CTACATACTCTCATCTTCGAGTATTCGGCTGTCTCTGTTATCCCAACCTCACCGCCACCACACCACATAAACTCGCCCCCCGTTCTACTCCTTGTGTCTATCTCGGTCATCCTTCCTCTCACAAAGGCTATCGTTGCCTTGATCGATCCACTGGCCGAATCACAATTTCTCGTCATGTTACCTTCGACGAAACTCACTTTCATTTTGCTGAGTCCACTCCCCCCAAAAATACACTTCCTACCTCTGCCTTGGACGAAAACACACCATCCATGTTCCTCCTCCCTCAGACTTCGTCTAACTGTTGCAATAGTTCCTCCAACTGTTCCAACAGTGAACCAGCCTGTTCCAACAGTCCGTCCAATAGTCATATAACACAGCCATCAACTGGTTCTTCTGCAGCACCACCTGTCGACCACGACCCACTCACAACCCCTTCTCCTACTTCCACATCTCCTTCTCCTACTCCCACACCTCCCCCACCTCCCCCTGCTCACCCTATGGTAACTCGCAGTAAAGTGGGCATCCACAAACCCAAAGTCCCTTTCTCTCTCGTTGCATCTTCTGCCTCTTCCATTCCCACCAACTATCGCCAAGCTCTTCTTGACCAAAACTGGCGAAACGCCATGATTGAGAAATATACTGCTTTAATTAAAAACAATACTTGGAATGTTGTGCCCCGCCCCCCGTCCACTAATGTTATTTCTGGTAAGTGGATATACAAACAGAAACTCAAGTCTGATGGCTCCCTTGAGCGATACAAAGCACGGTGGGTTGTTCGTGGGTTTCACCAGCAGGCTGGCATCGACTTTGAGGAGACTTTCAGCCCAGTTGTCAAACCAGCCACTGTTCGAACAGTTCTCAGTATTGCTCTCTCGCGATCATGGCCAATCCACCAGCTTGACGTGAAAAATACCTTCTTACATAGAAATCTCTCTGAAACTGTCTACTGCGAGCAACCTCCCGGATTCGTCGATCCATCTCGCCCCACTCACGTGTGTCGTCTCAATAAAGCACTCTACGGTCTCAAGCAGGCACCACGTGCTTGGTACAAGCATTTTGCATGTCACATTACTACCATGGGGGTCAGAGAATGCAAGTCCGACATTTCACTCTTTGTGTACTGTCGCAACAGTTCACGCGACTGTCGCAGTAGTTCACGCGACTGTCGCAACAGTTCATGCGCCTACCTTCTGCTGTATGTCGATGACATTGTACTTACGGCCTCCACACCTGAATTGCTCTGCTCTATCATCGCCGCCCTTAATCAAGAGTTCGCAATGAAGGATCTTGGCGATCTTCACTACTTTCTCGGCATTTCAGTCACTCGCTCGTCGAATGGGCTATTTCTCTCTCAACGCAAGTACGCCGACGAGATACCAGAGCGTGCACACATGACTTTCTGCAACCCTTGTCTTACGCCGGCCGACACAAAGAGCAAGTTGTCTTCGACCACTGGACCCCCCGTTGCTGACCCTACTCTTTATCGCAGCCTTGCCGGTGCACTGCAATACCTCAAGTTTACTCGTTCTGACATCTGCTATGCTGTGCAACAAATATGTCTATTCATGCATGATCCGAGGGAACCTAAAGCGTATTCTTCGCTACATTCGTGGGACTCTCGATCACGGCCTTCAGCTCTCCCCCAATCCGGGCCTCTCCCTAATCGCTTACTCCGACGCCGATTGGGGTGGCTGCCCTGACACTCGTCGTTCGACATCGGGCTATTGTGTTTTCCTCGGCAACAACCTCATCTCTTGTTCCTCCAAACGACAGGTCACTACTTCTCGATCGAGTGCGGAGGCCGAATACCGAGCTGTCGCAAATGCCGTCGCCGAAACGACTTGGTTACGCAACCTTCTTTCTGAGTTGCTCTGCCCACTTTCGAAAGCCACTATTGTCTATTGTGACAACGTTAGTGCCGTCTACCTATCCAGCAATCCTATTCAACACTCTCGTACGAAACATGTGGAGATCGATATACACTTTGTCCGAGACAAAGTTGCTTTGGGACACGTTCGAGTACTTCACGTCTCATCCGCCTACCAGTTTGCTGATATCTTCACGAAAGGACTCCATACTCAACTGTTCCAACAGTTTTTCTCCAGTCTCCACGTCCTCTCCTTTCCCGTTTCGACTGCGGGGGTGTATTAGCGTATATATATTCTATATATTACGTATACTTATTATTATTCTTATTTATTATAGTTACCTTGTATATTAGGTTACCTTGTATATTAGGTTACCTTGTGTAGTAGGTTAGGGTTTCCTACATGTAACTATATATATGATTAATATACGTAAGAGATATCATTCTCTCTTTTCTACAATTATATTTCTCCTATAGTGTTTATGTGATTAAATTCGTTTTTCATATAATTTCTTTTTCCGCTGCGTACACGTGTCTGATTCCCAACAGTTTCAACATTTCGAATTTGGTAATACAAGCGCACCCGTTTACGGTGATTGATAATGAGCTTTAAAATAAAAAACACACAAATTTAATATGGTTCTGATAAAACTATATGTTAATATCCATCAAAAATTTCCTTAACAAGTAGTTACACTGGGAAATATTATTGCAAGTACAACTCTTCAAGATTAAATAATCTTCAAATTTTCTCTTCAAGTTTTCACCAATTTTATTTATGATTGAGTAGAAATAACCCTCATGGCGAACGAAATAACACCATCACAACAAGCAAAGAAAAATTGGATATAGTTCCAAACACTATCTTCTTCATAGCCTTCATGAGGAAACCTTCGCAAGATTTTTTTTATTTTTTTTTGGCAAATATACATGTTAAGCTAGCGAATGTAACCTATATTCTTCTATGATAAAAAAATATGTCTTCTATTCTGAACCTGGATTCTAGGATAAGTTATATTGTATGAAATTTCGAGTGAATTATAATCAGCTATGTTTAAGTTTATTGTATTCATGTTTTGCCACTATAACATGTCCGTAGGGACATTTATAAATATTATTAATGAGAGTAGGAAGAAAAACTATGGCTTCTCTAGGGTCTAGTTACGCCATACCTCTCGAACCGTAAGAGAATTGATTTGGTTCAATGCTTAAAAAAGTTTTTAATAATTATTTTTGTATGTTTTGTTTTAGGTGCAGAGCTAGTACACCCCTAGTACCCTATAAATTTATTCACATACAATATATATATAATATATATATATGTGTGTGTGTGTGTGTGTCTGTGTCATTCAAAAAATACTTCCTAATAAAGTCAGCGAACCCAATATACTCATCGGGGTCCATTTCTTCGTCGTCATCAACTATCACCGGCCCATCACCCATTATCACTAGCGGCACCAGAGGTGGTGGTGGAACTGGTGGAGCTACTGGAGCAGTCGCCGGTTGCTGGGCGGTGTTGCGCATGTCCATCGCCAATTGAACCTGCATCAAGGCCGCGCGCTCGGGTCCTCGACACGATATTTATTGAGGAAAACTGTCACAGGCTCCACGTAGTCATCGAACCCTAGTGAGGCAATGACAGCGATTACATCTTCTGGGTTGATGGTTTTTTTGTACTCGCGGTGAGTCATCTTATTAGTTTCACTGGTTACAAAGGAGATGAACTCTGAGAGACACTCTTGAATAATCTCCTTCACATCATCGGAAACTTTATGTTCGCGTGAGGACGTTGTTTTCCCTTTGTTAGCAGAATTTGTAATACAAACGAAGCTTAGAAACATAAAAAATACATACAGTAGATTTTTCGGAATAAAAAAGGCTTTGAAGAAAGTACCCTTACGTTTAGAAGTTCTCGTAGTAAAAGCTGTAAAATAAACACAGATTATGGCGACATTAAAATTAGGTTTTGAAAAATCATCCAATTTGTTATCACTAAGCACACCAACATTAAAGTTAGGCTTCGAACTACTTACATTTTTTTTACCATTTTTTCTTCTACGCACAACTTCGTAGTAAAAAGCGCAACAATACCGAACAAAACTAGAGCAAAACCTTACAATATCACAGTAAAAAATCTCGTAAGTTGTTCTTCGGTGTTGGTTTCTGAGAGAAGAGTGAGAGAAAAGAGAGACTGTATTTTTTATCGACGTGATTGAGAAAGTTGACGAGGCGACTTGCAGCGTTTTAATGCTAGAGGTATATTGGTCCAATTATTAATGCTGGAATACCCTGTGGACTGTTAGCAAAATGCGGATTGTGGCTTGTCCTTATTTGAAACAAAATTATAGTAGAAGAGTGTATGGCAAATTGCCCCTTAGAGCAATTCCAATGGAGTTATTTCATTAACTACCATTTTGATATTTCAAATTAGAAATTTTCCACTCCAACGGAGTTATCAAATGGGTTTCTATTTTGATATTTTAATTTTTGGGATGTAAAAATACATCCAGAAGAAATAATGCCAATTAGAAGTTATACAACTTAACCACTTAAATAGCCAATTAGAAAATGACATGTATTAATTAAAATATAAAATCACATTATTTATTTTTAATTATCAACTATTTGATATCTATGGTTAGAGCAAATAAATTTAATTAGGTATCAAACTATAATATGAAATATCAAATAAATATTTGATAATTCATTTTGATATTTGTGGGATGGAGTTGCTCTTAAATAAATTGCCCCTTAATATAAGTTCTAAATAATAATAAAAAAAATAAAAAAAAGAAAAGAAAACAAGTGGGTACTGGAACTACTGGTAGTGAGAGAGGATTTGTACACGTCAGAGTAGAGTGATTAATAGCCTCTACACTATCCACTTCAGAAGTGTCCGCTGGCCGCCCTCTCATTCATGCGGCCTCAAAACCAATTTCCGGATAAACCAACTTTTTCCACTACCCCGGACCAAAATTCATCTCTTTCATTCAAAAACCTAACTCCGATTCTCATTGCCAATCACCGGAGTTCTAGAACCAATCTTCATACGCCGCCGATTCTCTGGTTGAACGAACGATAACTGCAATTTTTTTTTATTTTCTTTTTTGCTTTTAATTTTGACGGAATCAGCTGATAATGCTGCATGAGTATTTATCGAGAAGAATCGGAATCAGAAGAATTACCAATTGGAGAAAAGTTAGAGAAATTCACGAGTTGTAGCACTAGCGCAGAAGGATTGAAGGAGAAATGGCCATGGGTGTGGTTATTATGGCTCATGGTCAGCCTTCCGCCGCCCTTCACCGACTCCATACTCATCCTGCTTCACCGTCGTCTTCGTCTTATCTCCGACTGCGCCTTCCTCACTTCTCTTCTGCTGGACGATGGCTGAATCCCCATTTTGCCCCTGCCAGGTACGCTGCGCTTCTCTTGTTACCGTTTCTTTTTTGAAATTTTGTTATATTTGATCATATGTGTTTTTTTCACTGTTATTAGGGCAGAATGTAGATTATTCAATCCAATTTGTACTATGGTGCATTTTCGTATAAAATTCCTACTTATTATTGTAATTTGTGTTCTTGCTAAATTTCAGAATGGTTATGTTTACAAAATGATTTTAAATTTGTGTGAAAGTTTCCGTAGAAATTCGCATTTCAAAACTGATTCTAGTTGTAACTATTTCTCTTTGTTCAGAGTTCTTTTTTCTATCTGTTTGGTTATGTTAGTGGAACATTTAACTAGTAGTACATATTCGAGTGATTGTTCATGTCATGAAGTACTTTTTTTACATCCGAGAAATCTCTGGTTTATCTTACTTTGAAGAGGATTATTCTTTTTTTTTTCGTGATTCAACTGCTTCTTGTTCTTGATGGTAGGCTGATCAGGTTTCCGTTTGGTGCTCACCATCAAATTCTTGGAGTGTGGGGAGTTCATGTGATCACTACAATATAACCTTTATAGACTATAGACAATTACTGAGCCTATTACGACTTCATAAAATATGAAGAATAAAATGAATTTCTCAGAGTTGATGTTCAGTAGATTTACTGTTATTTAGGTATTTGAAAAATGTTTTTTCTTATATTTGCAGGCTCGATGCATTTAGTTTAAAGTGTTCATTGACTAGCATTGATGTCTTGGATTCTGTTGCAACTGCAACCGAGGAAGTCTTTGAGGATACCGCATCTCTCGAATCAAATTGTTCTATTCCAGTTGTTCATCTGAAATCTGATACCTTGGAAACAGAAGGAATTAACTTACTTGTTGGAGGCACGTATGTAGACACAATATTGACAGCATTACCTGTAAGTGTTCTTTTACTTGTATTTCCTCGTTTCCTTAGCATATTTTGATCTTTGAGAATTATGAATTTCCATAAATATATATATATATATATATATATATATATATATATATATATATATATATATATATATATATATATATTTCAATTTTTGGCCATCTATAACTCCTGGGCATCATGTGTAGGTCTTATCAGAAGAGGAACAGAACGCAATTGCAGCAACTCCTGCTCATCCAGCTGGACTCTATGGTGAGCGTTCTCCTTATAAATTAAAATGATAGATTTTTAATAGAATGATGAAATAATAAATTTACGGAACCCCGTGGATATATTTTCCACATAAAATCTTATAATTTGGTGCTTGAAATCTATGATTCCAATGTGAATTCCTAATTTTTTCTGTCTATTTGAGTCATTATTCTATAAGAGATATGCCTTCGTATCATATGATAAGGAATTTAGGTCAATAAATAATGCAAGATATCAAGGCACCGAAGCTTCTCCACTGTCTCCTGGCATTTCCAAATTTAAGCTGATGGCTAAGATATCCTTAATATCATTTTACATAATACTAGCAGTGTCTACCTTTCTTGTTTCTTATGGGTATTATGAGCAATCACACACACACACGATTGTTAAAATTCCCAAGCTGCCCTCAAGTTGCTTCTAGTGATAGTGGTTTTTAAAGTATTATTGCATTTACTTACGATAATTCATTTTCTAACGATAGTCATATATGCAATTAGCTTTATATGCTAGCTGCTTGGCTGGAAATCTGGTTGAACAGCTATGGAATTTCGCTTGGCCTGCTGCGATTTCGTTGATTCATCCAAGTCTTCTTCCTGTGGCTGTCTTGGGTTTCTTTGCAAAGGTAGTACTCCACATAGATAACGAGGCCTTTAAATAAGAATTGAGTGGTTAACTGTAGAAATAACTGCATATTTTAACAGGTTGCTGTTATTGTTGGAGGCCCTTTGGTAGGGAAACTAATGGACTACTTTCCAAGAGTCCCAGCATACAATTGCTTAACTATGGTCCAGGTACCTACTTTTCACTTGTCTGTAATAATATTGAAGTTGAAGCCTTTTCCGCGAAGTTTCACGCTTCTTGTTACAGGGAGCTGCTCAGTTGTTATCTGTTGGAATGATAATTCATGCGCATACCATCCACCCCACACCTGTCTCTTCTGTTCTTGTCCAACCATGGTTTGTTGTACTTGTGATAGCTTTGGCTGTTGAAAGGCTCTGTGGACTGGCTCTGGGGGTAGCAATGGAGCGTGACTGGGTTGTTTTGGTAATTTTTATTTTTTTTTATTTTATTGATTTCTTTTTCCACGTCATCACTATTAAAGCTGCCAACTGCCAAGTTTTTCGATTTTTAACAAGTTAGAATCTGTTATGTCAGTTGGCAGGAACAAGTAGACCAATAGCTCTTGCACAGGCAAATGCAATCCTCAGTAGAATCGATCTCCTCTGCGAGGTGATTGAAGAATCTGATCTCGTCATAGTTCCTCCGCTGCAATAAAACTATGATTTTTTGTCGAGATACTCATGATGCTGACAATTTTCATGATTTTGTACAATCGCAGATTGCAGGAGCATCATTATTTGGCATTTTCTTATCTCAACATGAACCAGTCACATGCTTAAAGCTGGCTGCTGGTCTAATGATATGGTCGCTGCCTGTAGTGGTAATATACCCTTGCTGTAGTATGGGTGCTCAATTCGAAACAATGTTAATTTTCTGATTTTCTTTTTGCATGGCCTAGGTTGTTCTTACGTGGTTAACGAACATGCTCTCTGCTGGAGTCCTGGACCGTGCCAAATGTTCACAATGTTGCTGTGGGAGTTCGTCTGCAGATTCTATTCCAGACACCTCAAATATATGTAAGTAATGGACCTTTTATAACAAATGATAATATATTGGTTGTAGTATAGATATATATATACATAAAGATATTTGTTCATGTACATATAAATGATCTTTCTTAACTTTGTATTGATAATTTTCCTTCTTGTTTGCACTGATGTTGGTTTTCTTATGCTACATAGTTGCTACGAGTGTAGAAGTTATCAAGAATGGGTGGTTTGAATATATTCAGCAGCCTGTTCTGCCGGCAAGCCTTGCTTATGTGTTACTCTACTTCAATGTTGTTCTTGCTCCTGGTAGTCTGATGACTGCTTTCTTGACACAACATGGTATCATCTCCTATCAACTTAGATAATTAATTTATGGCATTACATGTTTGATTGTACGGATTTAAACACAGCCCAGTTAATATTATTATTTATTGACTTACAAAATTTTGAATCTCTTATTAGCTGTGGTTGAACTATTTCATTAAACGTAACCCTCAGTTTACTTAAAGGGTAGAGTATTTATGGTCTTCTAGAAACATGAAACGTAAGTCATTTAATTGTTTAGACTCAAACCGCTAATATTGTTTAGCGTATTACACTGAACTAATTAAGGAAGCATTTGTGAGTTCCTGATCAATGTAGTAGTTATACGGTGGTGAGGCATGATTAGATTGCACTATGTTTTCTTTCATCAAATAATAACACTTTTAGTCTGTCATGCTTGAAATGATTGGGGCCTTTGTTTGAAATCAACTATAGTTATCTCATGTAAAGAAATTTTGCACTTAAATAATACAAAAATGTGTGGTTTCAATGTGGAGTTTGAATCCACATTCATGTTTTGGTTATATGGAAGTTGTTTGCTGTTCCTAAATGAAACAATCATGCTACCTTTTTCATTGTATTTGGAGCCAACAGCAGCCACGAGAGTGAAATTTAGAGGTCTGGAATAAATCAGTGCTACTTTATACCAGTGTGAGCATTAATCTCATGTAAATATTTTTAACACTAAAACTGAAGTGAAAAACAGTGTGGCCCTTAATCTCGTCAACAAGAAGACTTGTTTGTGAAATTTATTTGCAAAATTAGTGCCACGAGTTTGCCTTGGTAAGTGGTAACTGGAAGATGGTTACAAGCTGAAGATGTTAAGCATCCTTACTTTTTGCTTCTCTTTCTCACCAAAAACTATAATTTATGTTTTGTACAAGAAGTTTGATATATAAGCCTTTCAGCCTTCTTTGATTCATCACTTTCCTTTTTTGTAAGACTTGAAGGGGTGATACTCGAAACACTGCGGCGATAACGATAATGACATGTTTTGAATTGTTTCAGGTTTAAATCCTACACTTATTGGAGGTTTCAGTGGACTATGTGCATTTATGGGTGTGGCAGCAACATTTGTGTCTGCAAAGATGGTTAAGCGACTTGGCATTCTTAAGGTATTAATGGATTTACTTTGTATATTTTTATTAGCGGTCTTTGTTCAAGGAATTTTCTGTTGTCATTATTTCTTTTTTTTTCTACTCTTGATGAATTATTTATGCCAGGCTGGAGCAGCGGGCCTTATCTTTCAGGCTTCCCTTCTTACCCTTGCAGTTGCTGTGTATTGGAGTGGTTCTCTTTCTCAGAAAGTTCCAGTTTTATTCTTCTTATGTTTAATTGTGAGTTCCTCTTAGCTTTTCCTCTTTAAATTGTAGTCGTACATGAATATTCTGAGTCGGTTTAAATACGTGTTTATGTCTGGATTTTTAGCTTCTCATGATTTTACCTTATTTTTCTAACAAATTTGTCTGTAGTTACATGCTGACGGGTTTATATCTGGATGTAGATAATAAATGTGTTGTTAAAAGTCTTTAGTTCGTTTTCCAACAAGACAAACATGGAAATACAGTAGTTTGTTATGGAAAATATTGGTAATTCATTTTCCCTGCCCAGTCTGAATGCAACTCGTTTTCCTCTATGTGCTAATAATCCTTCAGTAATTATAGTTGATCGGTCCAATTATTTTCATAGTTTGCTGTTGTACTAGCCATTAACATGGTCCCTTCATAGACCTTGTACGACAGATGCCCTCTAAATATGAAGAATAAAATACTGCAGAAATACAATACATATGGATACGGATAATATCTGTTGGCGAAAGTAAACTTGTGCACATATGAAGCATTATATATTAATTCTGGCAACATACTATACTCATTTCTTAGTATCAATAATACTAATTAATCAGATAAGAGAATCAAATTACAATTAACGACTAAAGGAGGTTAGATACTTTGTCGTTAAAGCTAATAATTGTTACCTTCTGTGTTTAGATAGAACTGTTAGTAGTTGCATTTGTCCCTCCCATTTCTAAATTTTTCTTCGGAAACTATGACAAGGATAATATTGGTTAGGCTCTAACATATTGAACCTTTTCTGCCTTATTCATCAACATATATGTTTCAGATGCAGTGCTATATTTCTCGTTTAAATAGGTTTGAGGTTGTTAACTTTCTGACGACTATATGATGCCCATTTGAACCTTGTTCTGTTTTAACATCAAAGAAATTTCCTCTTAACAGGTATTATCGAGATTGGGGCACATGTCATATGATGTTGTAGGGGCACAGATCTTACAAACGGGAATACCTGCATCTAAAGTTAACCTTATTGGGACGACTGAGGTTGCGGTTGCTAGTTTGGCAGAGTCGGCAATGTTAGGGGTTGCAATAATTGCTAATGATGTTTCAAATTTCGGTGTTCTAGCAGTTTTGTCCCTTCTATCAGTTGTTGGAGCTACTTGTTTGTACTGTAGCTGGTTGAAGAGTCCTACTGATACACAAAGGAGTCTCTTTTCTTCAGAGCCGGGTTTCTCATAATGTAAGTATAGGTTTTTTTTTTTTTTTTTTTTTCTTATACCGTGCATCTATACTTTTGTCTGTTAGTTAATTTCTATCTTTGGAATAGATTTCTGTGTGCTGATTCTTATATTACATACATGGTTCTGTTCAAATAATGAAATATTTTTGGGAAGTAGCAAAGATGCCTTTGTGGAGATTCATTAGAGATACAAGCGACGAACGCATATAAAAATATGTATCTCCTAATTCCATGGAAGGAAGAAAAGGCATTGTTTGCCTCTAAATTCAGAAATTAGAATACCAAGACTTGGTTCGGATTATAATTTTGGGGTAAAATGTGAGCTTCCTCTAGTTGGGTTTAATTTGAATATCGAGTTTTCGTGATGAAACACAAGGAGATAGATATGTTTGACTCGAGCGGGAGCAAGTTGGTTTAAAATATTTTTTTTGTCTAGACTCTCCAGATTTAAGATAGGGATATATTATATATAGGTTCCATTTTTCAGCACTAGGACATGAAAATAATTGGGATCCAGACCACTGACCAACCAAACTTCCCTTTATCTATAAACGGCACGTTTGGTTTGAGTGATAGAGGGTCATAGACTATATAATCCCACTTTAGCACACGTTTTTGTTTCCCTTAGTCCTCGAATAAATAAACGGCCCAAAATCTTATCTATACTCCAATTGATTATTTATCCTTCTGAAGGGGTGTTGAACAGTACAATCCTAAGATTATTTAACAATCCGTATAATCCCATCATACAAACCAAGTGAGCCATAAAACAATATCAGCAGTATCAGAAGTAAAAAACATTAATTCGTTGGAGCATGCACAAGTTAATTCCGTTTCAAATGATATTGCTTTATTTGTGTACTACAGCTATGAAGTCTAAATGGAGCAAACCGAATGAATTCCGAGTCGCTAGAAGGATGGTAAATATGTCTCGTGCCACTTTGATCGATGCCTGATGCCCTAAGAATATTGAAATTATCCACCAATGGAGATTAATCTCATGCTGTACAAGTACACTCCCTCAAAATTGGCTTCTTTCTAGCATATTTAATTTGTGATCACATTAGTTGCTCAAAAAAATGGTCTTTTTTTTCACATACATGGTAGCTGTAAATACATGCAAACACACTCTGTAAAGAACTGATCATATTCTTGATGACAAAGCCAATTGATTCGCAGGTTACATAATTTTTTATGTAATTCTTTTTGCAAGTTCTGTAATCGAGTCTGCTGTATTTGATAGAGACGATTGATTACGAGGAACATTATATTGTCGATTTCATCGTTCGAACAGTTTCGGTTTTTAATTACTTTTATTTATTTACTTACCAATAATTGTCTTCTATATGTGAGATGGAAATTTCAAAGTGGAATATAGGGAAATATAATTAGTTATAAAGTGCATCATAATTAGGTGTGACAATAGACAAATATTTTCATTAGCTACAAGTCCATCACTTCAACATTGTTTTTCATAAATCCCTCGACTAATCTTTTAAGCACGTTCAGTCTATTTTACCTCGACTTCTTAAAATTCTAAACACACATTCTACGTGTTTTTTTCCGATGAGGAAAGATTGATTTTAGTGATTTGAAGTCGTTTATACTTAATTCAACAAAAAAAAAGAAGTCGTTATACTTATAAAATGACATTTTGACAAGATAAATAGGAATTCAATTTTAATTATGAAAAGAGTTAAAACTTAAAACATATGAGATTATGAAAGGTCCTTGTGCGTCCCTAAAGGGAGCAAGTGAGCATTTGTCAATTGATTCAGATTCGAATCATTTCCTTGCTGACGGCCGCTAATTCGAGTTTGTGACACATTTTAGGCCAAATTCCAAGTAACACGTCATCGTTATTTGCATATTTTACAAGGTTCCGAGAGATAATGCTTCTACTATGCTAATAAAACTTCAATTTATTTATCATTATTTGTACCAAATTTGAAATTAAGTGGTACTACAAAGATGTACTACTTGCATTTCACTAAATTGGTAAGTACATAAACTCTTGCGTCATCGTTTGCGCAACAGCCAAATCCAATATCGTACAAGTACTGTACTAGATAAACACAAGCAGATCACTATTCTAATTCTGCAATAGTTTGAGTTAATTAAGGCGACGGCTAAATGCAATACTAGTTTTTTACAAGGGTAAGATCAAAATTAAAAAAAAAAAAAAAAATCAATATACAAATACTATAATACTTCTATTTGTTAAAAAAACAAAAACCAAATTGATATAATACCATAAAATTAAAATAAAATTAAAACCTCAAAAATTTACCAACAAAACTACAATACCGAATTCTGATCTCCATCTTTTAAAACCCACCAAAATCTTTCTCCTTCCTCTTTTAGAAATCCAATAATTCAACAATTTTAACTAACATGATTCACAATTCTAATTCTGTAATAATTCACTTTAACTTAATTAATTTGTGGGCAAACAATATTAACTAACATAATTCACTTTTGGGTAAACATCGCATCCTAATTAATTTAATTCAATCTGAGGATAATTATACAGCCGGATTTTTTTTTTGATGAATTGCTAGGAATCTGTAGCAAAGAAAAGTATATTTTACATTTTTATAATCAAAAAATAAAATAAAAATATATTCTTGGAACAAAAATAATTTGTTATTCCTTGAACAATATGGACAAAAAATGCGCCAAATAGACACCCCCTAGGGATCAACTCTTTAAGTTTTGTTCCTACTACAATCCCAATAAGTCAACGGTCGTCGTTCTCATTTAATCGGCCGCACACCGTCGTTTTTCCATTCAGAAATCTCCGTCTCCGCCTGCCGGAAACTTCACACTCAATTCCACCGCCGTCGCTCATGTCGATTCCACCACCTCTTCAGCTCTTACTCGCCTGCCTCGCAGTCTTCAGCTGCCGCCATTTCGTGGCTTCTCACCAGGAGTCCGGCGACTGGCACTGCGACCCCGACGACGAGGCCCGAATCGCGGCGGAATTCAGGCCCGGAATCGTAACCCTCGACGGCCGCGCCGACGACTGGTCCAATGTCGACGGTTTCGAGTTTCCCCTCCGCCCAGCTCTGGACCCCGACGAAGATCACCAGTACAAATCTGGAAAAATGACCGTTAAGGTACCGCCATCCCATCTAATTATTATATCAAGCTGACTGATGAACTTCTGAGTGTGAATTAATTTCTGGATTCGGTAAATTCCTATAAAATTGATGACAAATTAGTTGCCCCAAATGCAATTCAATTTTGTTTTTTGGTGACGGCTTAAAAATATTGTTTGCGGTTGATGATAAATCTATTACTCGATTTTGTATTTCCATTATGATGAAAGATAGTAGCACCAAACTGTGATTAGATGACAATCAATTAATAAGCAAAGATGAAACTAGAAATTTTGGTTAAGGTTTAACAAACACAGTACTTAAATTAAAGCGAGTTGAAGATTACGCAACCCACAGTTTGAAGGTTGAGAGCTAAAAATATCGTATGTCGTATTCAAGGTTTAATATGCTTGACAAGATATCGGACACAATTAGATTCTTTCTTTCCGTGACATATTCTTCACTGCAAACCATATTTACCAGTTGATTAGTTGAATAGTGCAGATTCCTTTCATTTTATATGGTCGATAAGTAGGCATACACAGATGAGATGACCCATTATATATACGGAGTTTTGTATTAACTAGACATTGTGAAGTTTGGGATAGAGAGGAGGCATATGGAAGTTTGTGTTCCTGTCGAGTTATGATATTTTCGTTAATGATGGTTAGGCTTTGCATGATGGGAAGGATGTTTACTTCACGTTGCAAGTTGATGGAGATTACGTGTATTCCAAAGGGTGAGTTTTCTTCGACAATGTAACTTTGAAGTTTACTATTACGGCAGTTCTTGCATTATTGTTCTTTTATTTCAGTTGTCCATTGTCATTATGTTTGTTTTTGTATTTACAATACATATGGGGCTATAGCTTTTTTTCTATATTTTTTTTTTTGTAATTTATGCTTTGATGGGATTCACTGGTCCGGATGTTCGCCACAAATGTTGAATAGGTTTCTTTAACGATGTTTGCTCCACTGTAATCAATGGATGTTTGGATATGAAGGTGGATAGGTTAACTCTATATCAAATATGAGCATAGGTGTTGTTATTTGGGTGGCATTGCAGTCAAGTAACGGCTTGGAATACTTAAAAAAAAAATAATATGAAAGCTCAGATGGTACTCACTATTGGTTTATTTCTCGAAATCTTGAAAGGAAAATGATTACTGATTTTGGTGCCCCTTTGCTTTTAAATCTTTTGGCATGTCCATGGATGTAGAAATATTCGTCCTTCGATATACTACCGGATGGAATTCAGAGAGCCCTGCTTTTTATTGCTTATGTGGGACTTGTGGCGATGTTCTTAAACGGTTTTAAGAATTATTGTTCCCCATTTTATGAAAAACAGAAAAAAAAATTACCATTCACCAGTTGAAATAAGTGATATCTGACCGAATCTATACTAATTAATACGAATCTACAATATAAAAATAATGTAAAAACTTAATGAAAATGAGTTACAGAATGTCTGGTTTATATTCACTGGATATATTTTCTCTATGGATCCTTTATCAAGAAACTGAATACCTTTTCTTTTCTTCGGGTTTTCAAATCATGCAGAGATGACCATAAATGCCCATCAGTAGCCTTGATGTTTCAAATTGGCGACAGTGCAACATATCATAATGTACGCTCTGATATTTGTAGTATCCGAAAGTTGGTTTTTATATTTTATTTTAATTTAAATTAATTTGCAATGTTGTACTCATCCTTTTCTCTAATCTTTGTCAAACAAGATGGGTGGGTGTAAGGAATCATCCAATACGTGCAACAGCACAAATTGCCGCGGCTATGAAGTTGACATCATGCACTTCTCCATTGGAAATTCTATTCCAGGAAGATTGTATGGTGGCAATTCCGTAAATAGTGTTGGTTTGGTTGATATGTATTCCTGGAATCCACACTGCCGGAATATTGACGCTAGTGCTCCTTCAGGTACGTTTTTCCGTATTTCGTACATCTTATGACAATCAAAATGCTTCAGACAATTTATTGTTTGAATGATTTCCAACCTGACTATAATATATACGACTAAACTTACTGTTATGTGGGCTTAGAAACGAAAAAAAAATAAAAAATCTTATTGCATAATGAACTGTATGTTCAGATTAAATATGTCCAGGAATTTGTTTAGATTCACATTTAACGGAACATTCAATTTTTATTGCATTTCACAGGAAACGATTCTACTGCGCTGAATGATTGGAAAGGTGCATGGTGGCACAGCAGCTTTTCAACCCATCCAGGCAAGTATTTATTTTAGGGTAAATTACAAACACCCCCTGAGGTATGGTCAAATTACAAAAAACCCCCTCTTGTTTGGATAATTACATCTACCCCCCTCAACTATGATTTTTTCTTACACATCCACCCTTATGGTGCCAAATTCAACATAATCATCTAGATTCCGTAAAATGTGCTCTAGTTTGTACTCGTTTTGTGTAAAAATGCAGTTTTCGATGCACCACAAACTGATATATACAAGCTAAAAATCACATATTATGATCATCTTGCTTCATAATGTAGAGTTTGAATGGGATAAAACGGGTACAAAAGTCATAATATTCCATATAATCTCGAAGATTTCACTAAATTTGAGGAGTTGAGGGGGTGGTTGTAATTATCCAAACAAGAGGGGTGTTTTTGTAATTTGACCATACCTAGGGGGGTGTTTGTAATTTACCCTTTATTTTATTTATTTTTGCAAAATGAAGTATATCTTTTTTTTGCCAAATGGATTTTCTTTTACAGTCAATTTTAGGACATTGTACTATAATAGAAAACATCACTGTTCGTTTCCTTGTATGGACTGGACAGGGTTTATTGAGGATGATAGTCCTTACGGATCGTCTGCTGAGAAAGGCATATACTACTTTGAATTCTCTCGTCCTCTAAGAACTACGGACCTTCTTCAACAGGTACAACACTCTTCTCACTTATTCTCTTTTACTTAGTCATGTTAATATTTTCGAATTAGTTTCTCATTCCACAGTAAAAAAGCAGAGCCTTCATTATTTGCATTTCAGAACTCCTCTCAGTTTGATTTTTTGAAAACAATATCAGAATCCTCCAATACTCTTAGAAAATATCTCTACTAAAAAAAATGATTTTTTTTTTAAATTTATTGTCAAAAAAATATTTATTTCTCTATACTATCAGATGTCTTTTGACTATAGTATGTATGTAAAAAAGTATCCCCCAAATGTAAAAAAAAAAACAAAAAAAAAAAGAAAAAATCAATTCCAAATTTCAAATATTATTCGGAAACACCAACTGCCGGAACAAAATGCAAATCTATCCTCAAAATGTAACCAAGCATTCCCCGGGACTTTTAGACAAGACACACTATAAATTTGATCTGACTACACAGAAGTGAAACGTAGTGAAGAATCCTTAAGAGTAGCATATATTTTGGAGCCCTATTTGAAGACATTTGAGATATGTATATGTTTTGCGTATGAATGCAGGATGCTCAATTCAGCATTGGGAAATCAAGCAAATTTTCGGCAGCATTTTGGTACCCGAGTGACGGAAATCCGTGGCATGGTTCAGCACATTATACAATTAGCTGTGATTGGATTCCAATGGATGTAATCTCTGGCCTCACTTCACAACACAAGGCAGCGTCCGGGAATGCTGCCTCTCTCTTTGCTTTCGTATTATCTACTGCTGCCTTTTGCGTATCCATCTTTGTTGCCTACATGGTTTCTAAAAATAAATCCATTCCTTTTACCCCAATCGACGATCGTCTCTAATTTTCCTTCTCTCTTTCTTTCTTTCTTTCTGTTTTTCATTATCTACCACCAAATTCTCTTTTTGATGTCTTTCTTTCGTCACGACACGAATAGATGAAAATGTCTGTAGGACGTTTTTCGTTGTAGTTTGTCTGCCTTTTTCATTTATTTGTTGGAAGGAAACAATTAGGTGTAGTACCTTCTTCTTTACATATATTGTATTTTTGCTGCATATTGTGAATACCTTAAATTTACAGAGAAATTATTTGGTTCTGCATTAACTTCTGTAATTCCCCTTTTCTTACGTTATTTGGAGGATGCCCCAATTTTTTTTATTTTTTTTTTTTGAGCGAGAGGATATCAATTTTTAACCAACCCTAAGTAATTCAAATGTGTTCAATTGTAATTTCAACGAGATCGAGACCTTCTCCCAAGTTTATTCACTTGTCCAAGCGTATATCACAACTCTTGCTACACAATGCCATTTGAAATAGTGCAAGCTACACTAGGTAAAATAGATTAGACAAGTTTTTCTCATTTGATTTAAACACAAAGACGCGCGCGCGCGCGCGCGCGCGCTCTCTCTCTCTCACACACACACACACACACACACACACACACACACACACACACATATATATATATATATATATATATATATATATATATATATATATATATATATATATATATATATATATATATATTGATGTCGCAAAATATGCATGAATATATACACGTGAATGATAGGATATTATAATACAGTGAAATTCATCAGATGTGACAATAAACCACATGAGACACATGTGAGTCGCTTGGCTATATGAGGTTAATTACATTAAAAAAACCCTCTTAAATTTGAAAAGAAATCACTCATTTTTTTCTGTAAATTTGATTTAGGCCCAAAAAATTCATTTGAGACTGAAAAGTATTTGTTTATACCGTCCTACGTAAAGTTAGGTCTGATTAAGCCTAGACAGTCTAAAATTTAGAAAATATAATCCAATTCTTAAGTTTGAGTCTAGAAAATAGTTAAGTATATTTGTTCCTAATCTAATAAAATTTGATGATGCCAATTCTCTTTAACTAATGTGAAAAATTAAGATATGGTAACTTCATGTACTTTGAGCGACTTTAAGGCGATGCTCAAAAAAGCTTAGTTAAAAGCAAAAATTAGTAACTTGAATTAAGTTGATATTAAATACTTATTTTTAAAAGTTGTGGTTGTTTCTAAAGTTGCTAATTTAAAAAAAAAAAAGGTAATATACTATGAACCCCTCAAACGAAACTTAATTTGAACTAAATGATAAGTTTAAATTCAATCTTTTAATCAAATCCTTAGTTTGAAATAAATAAGAGCCACATCCCTAATTTATTTATTTATTCCTACTTTGTCCTTATACCCTAAATTCTCTAACCTATACATTCACGTTTCTTTAATTCAGATTTATTTCTCTTCTTTTTGTTCTCTCTCTCTCTCTCTCTCTCTCTCTCTCTCTCTCTCTCTCTCTCTCTCTCTCTCTCTCTCTCTCTCACGTTCTCTCTCTCTCACGTTCTCTCTCTTATATTTTCTCTATATCTCTCTTTCTCTTTCATTTTTTTTCTCTCTCACCCCCTATCTCTCTCGTTTCTCCAGTAGTAGCACGAAGACCACCGGCGGCGGCGGAGAGACATTGGGGGGTTTTGGTTATGGTTGGAATGTTATTAAAACAATATTTTGACTAATTGTCGCATCTGATTTTTTATCTTTTAAGAGATTTTGCTTGGATTGGATTAAAAAATGGCAGATCTAGGTTTTCCTAAAGTCGGTAGGTGATTACGGCAGCGTTGGCTGCTAGGGTTGGCGACGGCTGGGAGTTGTTGGTGGTAAGGGTTTGGGATAGTACACCATAGTAAAATATAGTACACTATAGTATACTATACGGGTTCGACTAGGGTTTGGCGGCGGCTACGTAGCTGCTAGGGCTGGCGACGACTAGGAGTTGTTGGCAGCTAAGGTTTGGGATAGTACACCATAGTAAAGCAATGTACATTGTAATACACTAAAGTACACTTTAGTATATTATAGTATATCGTAGTATACCATAGTCTAGACAAACTGAAAAATATGTAAATTGAATTTAAAAAAAGTAAAAATAAAAATAACGTGTTTTTTTTTCATTTGTAATTTCCATTATTTTGTAGAAAAAGAGGGCAAAAGATGTTTTTTACAATAGTGTATAAAATGCTAAAATGAAGAAATAAAGAAGACAAGCCGATATTTAGTAAAAAAAAATTAAAAATGTTAGATGGAACTATGAAAAATTTAAATGGAGAATAAGTAAAATGATAAATGCAATTTGAATTTACTTAATGCAAATTTCGAATTTGTAAGTGGAGGGGCATTTTAGGTTTGAATTTAATAAAGGATGGAGCAAATGTTTAGTATTGCTTGTCATTTAGTTCTAATAAATTTTGTCACCAGGAACCTATAGCTTAAGGGCCCCCCAAAAAGAAACAAGTATATGTGTGCTTTTAAAATTATAGCTTACAACAACTTATTTTAAGAGTAGAAAAAATAAAAGTTTGTTTACAAACACCTAAAAATAGATGGAAAAAAAAAGTAAAAAGCTTGGAATCTGTTTTTTCTAAAAGCTTTTGCAAACACCACCTAAGTTAACTTATCAATAAAAGAAGAATTATTTTACTATTTTTATTAGGGATGTGATAAATGTCGTTCGAGCTTTAATAATACCGTTTCGACTTCAAACGTGATTTTGATCATTTTCAATTTCAAATTTTGCAAAACCCGAAAAACAGAATTTGTAGTATTCTGAGTTATTTTTCTAATCCAACTTGAATCACCAAAATTGGATGTCAGACGAGAAAGATATACATGAATCAATGGATACTGCCCACAACTTTGATGTATTGAGGTATCTAAAATTCAAAATATGACTCATTCATGCATAACTTTGTCACATGACATCCAATCTAGCGTAATTAAGTTGGATTAGAAAGCTAACCCAAAAGACTACAGTTTTCGTGTTCGAATTTTGCCAAAATCAAAATAGAAATATGTCAAAATCAGGTTCGAAGTCAAAACGACATTAGTAAAATTGAAATGACGAAAACAACATTAGTAAAATTGAAATGACATTTAATATTTCAGTTTTTATTATATGCAAAATATTTGGTTATTATGAAAGTAAGGTTGCATAAATAAACACTAGTAAATTTTCCCACTCATGGTTATAATTATCATTTATTTGATCAGTTCCTTTTATTAATTTTTATTTTTGCTTTAATATAATAAGTTTAATAAGTCAATCAATTCTTAAGATTTTCTTCCCCAAATCTAATAACTTTTCTTTCTCCCACTTCTCTATCCCGGCTCACCCGTACCTTTCTTTCAAGACTTTTTATGTAGCTTTATCTGCTTTAATAAATTCAAGTTTAACAACTCAATTAATTCTCCATATTTTAATTATTCTCCAAATCTACTTATCTTTCTCCCACTTCTCTGTACTCCCGCATTACTCATCTCCATTTTACTTTGGATCATCTACACACCTACAATTTCCGAAATTAATACTCCCATTCCGTGAGATTTGAGCCAGGAAACATAATTTAAGAATTAAGAAGAATCTTTTGAGAGATACGAATTGAGAGAAAAATTAAAAGGAGAATTAAAAGAAGATAAAGGAAGATTAATTTTGCATAAACTTCATATCCCCATGTCCTACGCCACTGCCCTAATTTATAGACTTACAAATACAGAGGAATTACATTAACCACCCATTAATAATATGGTGTACGTGTCTAGTGCCATCTACAACTAACAACCCCTATTTTTATGCAAAATACAATGAACTAATTATATGCCACCCTACGAACTAATAAACACTTAATTTGATTAATTCTTTCCATAAATTTAAAAATTATACATATTATTCCCGCCCGCTCAAAAATATCCTTGTCCTCAAGGATATGGTCCATATACGCGTGTGAGATCGTTTTGCGAATTTAGATGATCTTGTAATCCATCTATTATCTGAGGGAGTCGCTCGAACTCTTATTGATAAATTTTAGTAGTGGATCTTTGTTTTATGAAACCAGTGAGGGCTTCAGAAGGATCGTCAAATCCGGTAGCACTAAAACGGTAGAGCAGCACCTTAGTGAAATCTTCTCCTACTGATGAGCCCTTCAATCCAGTTAACCAGCGATTTCATTGCAAAGTGATTCCTTCCAAATGAAAGGAATCAAGGTGAACATGCTGATCTTGGGCAATACATTGAAATTCAAAATATTGCTTGGCTTGGTAAATCCACTCCGTTGCGTTTTCCTCGGCGACTTTTAGAATTTGTTGTTTGATGTTTGTAACTGGGGCAGAGTTTGGAGTTGCGCGTGTTGTAGGTATAGTTATTTTTTGCTTGATTGGTTGTGATGTTTCTCCCACAACAAAGGGGTTGACATCATTTTCGGGTTTGGAAGAGACCCTTATAGCTCAAAGCTCTGTGAGGACAACTTGGAGGGTGTTGTGTTTGATTTGTGTCGAGCTAGAATTTCTCCAACCTCAGCACGACATTCAACTTCTGATTTGTTACAGGCCTCTATGGAACGTAGCGGCTCTGGTACCATTGTTACTGTTAGGATAGTAGACTAAATGTCTCGCTTTTAGCTACATAATTTTATTATTGAATTAATAAAATAGTTTCTTATCATTTTATGAGAATCTGCATAAAGGTATTCAATGGATTTAATTGATTGTTTGTCAATTAATTAAAAGCATAAGTCTAATATTCTAATAGTATTCGAGATGGTGTGCTACGGCGCACAGAAAGATCATTTCGAAAGTTCGTTTAGTATATAAATTTAATGGTTCACAATCTAGATGGAATTGGACTAACCATTGATAAAAGATTGTAGCACAATATTTAAGTGATTGGTCTTGATCACAGTAAACAGAGAATAACTTTTGTAGTTATTGTTTTGACTTATTGTGCTAGCACACTCGACATGTGTTGAGCCGGACAAAGTGAAATAATTGTTTCATCACTGTTCAAAATGAAACTGTATTATTTCTAGTTGACAGTAAATTACTAATTCTCTTAATCCCTAGATAATTAACGTATATATTTAATTGATGATCTCTACTTTGATGTCGCAATGGAAGAGATTCCTATATTGAGTCAAATGGTCCCCGGTGCGTTGGGTAGAGGCATTAAGAATTAATAGGTGGAAATTAATTATCAAAAGGAATCCACATCTCTGAAATATGAGAGTGATAATAACCCTTGAGTAGCTTATAAGATTTGTTTATGTCAAGTCCTGGCTGGGTGGATTTCGTATC